CCCATGTAGTATCTATATGCTATGTATTTTCTCTTATGTATGTATTTCTGACGAAGACAAATCGAAATAGGTTAAATACATCTCTTGTATCTATTCTCATCCATACCTTTTCTACGTTTAGATAGGTTAAAAGTTTAAAAGGTGGATTTGTTGAGCGCGATAGAAAGATGTTTACCCACAATACCCAAGACACAGAAAGGAAAATGGTCATGGGGCAAGGAAAAAACAGGTACTGCAGTGATAAGGCTTGAGGAATGGCCATGTATGTCCATTCCTTGTGCCATCTTTAACATGTTAAGGATGGCACACAGGGAGTGGGTGCAAAAAGAGAAAAAGGAACAGGATAAAATACTTCTTGATATATCAAGGAAGTATGGAGGAAAACGGAAAGAAGCAAGGGAGAAACACAGGAAAGAATTTGTACAAAGTTTCGAGGCATCCTCTCTGGTTTCACTGCCACAGAACACTCGTGCCTTAGACGCATGGGAAATTGAAAGAAAGGAACACATACAGTCATCCTTAAATATTACTGCAGTATCTTGTCAGAGTATAACTACACGAACTCTTAAATGCAGTCAAAAGGGGGAAAGGCACATCACCAGGAGATGGCGTGACATATGACATTCTAAATGCATTAGTAAGTCTTAATACCTATTCCTAAATCGTCTGGTGGATACAGGCTTGTATCTCTGACACTGCAAGATGGAGCAGATCTTATTAAACAAACTAATGTATGTGATTGGAGAAACTTTCTTGTAACCTGTACGGGTTTATGAAAGGGAAGGAACATCTATGCCTAATTCAGTGTTTATCCAACGATGCAGAAAAGTGTAGAGTATTTGTTGATTTACAGGGAGCCTTGATAAAGCCAACGGAAAGTGATTATGTATGAGTTGGCAATTAGGGTCACGGGAACGTTGCTTAAGTGGATCGGTGACTATTTGTCTGAGAGAAGAGCTTGTGTGTGGTTTCAAGGCTGTTTGTCAGAGGAAAAAATCTTGAGCTGGGACACCACAGGGAGGCGTTTTAAGCCCAACACTTTTTAATGTACTGATGAACAGAATAGCCTCAGAGAGCTATCCTCAGGGCGTCCAGCCAATTATATACGCAGATGATATATTGATACAAGGGACTACACAGCGCCGTTTACAGACGGCGCTGAACAACTTTAGTAAACTTGCTCAAACATTAGGGCTGGTTATCAATGAAGAAAAGACAAAATTTCAGAGCAAACAAAGGGGCAACGTGAGACTCAGTTTAAATGACAAACAGGTGGAGAAAGTATTGACATATAAATATCTGGGAGTATACATTGGCTTTACTGCGTCAAGTAAAGATGCTGAGGTGAATCATATATTGACTCAGTGTAGGGCGCGACTACGGCCGCTCAGAGCACTTGCTTGTCGCGGTGTAGGAGCTGGGGTGCCCTTGCTGAGGCTAATCTACATTAGTACGATAAGAGCCTTGGTGGATTATGCAGCACCAGCACTTTCCATAGCCTGTCAAGGGAGACTCCGGAAACTTGAAACCATAACAAATGAAGCTATGAGAATAATCCTCGGGTGTCAAAGGAATACCAGGATAGATATAATGAGAGCAGAGACGGGATTGCAAAGCATTGCAGAGAGAGAGATCAATGCAATAGCGGCCATCAGGTTAATGAGAGGGGCCAGTGGAAAGAAATTAGTGATATGGCCAGCGGTTTTAACAACGAGATCATTTTATAGGCAAGGCAAGCGAGGATGTATGAATGAAACTGAGAAATAGCATTCAATGTTATGCCTGAAGGATTATTGTCATTCTCATCAGACACCTCCTAAGGTGCCGCCATGGGAGGATCAGGATATTAACATAGATGTAGCCTCTCTCTATGAATAAATCCATGTATGACCAGGTCAACTAAAGCAACGTACAGCCATAAAATAAATAGTCTAACACGACTTGACATTGCTCATGTTACTGTGGTGGGCCAGTCCTGGAGGGCGGCAGAGCTGGTGTGGAGTCGTCAGACACTTCACTGGGAGTGAGTGGTCGCCACAAGCATGGGGTCACATCAACGCAAGCTGAACTATGGGCAATACTGACGGCAGACTGAAATCATTAATAAGGATTCTTACTTCTTTGTGGACAGCAGGGGAGCACTGGACTCCCTGTGTTTGGCCACATACTTGGCGAGTGTCATAAGCTCATAGGTTGCGAGGTCAGTGGCGTGTGATTACATTTGTTTGACCAGGAAGCACGAGGTAGACATTCAGTGCATGCGGACTCTCAAACAGCAAGGAGCAATATCAAGGGAATACAGATAGACTATGCCGAGGCCAGGAAGGGCGAAGCGAGTAAAGAGGCGAGGCACTGTCTGCATCTAGCGACGAAGACATTGCTTGTTGGAAGGGCAAGAGCAAATGGAAAGACAGTGTGTACACGAGGATCAGGCTTGGATATAAATACAACTGGGAGTTAGGCGTTCCAACAAGCGAGCAAGAAAAAGAATGCAGAGTGTTAGTTACCTAGATCACATACAGTGATACACTATATTAGTGTCCTAAGCTTCAGACTCATAGAAATGCAGAGATAACAGGTTTAACTGAACAGGCTGTATGGGTGATTGGGAATGGTCAGGTATTCGAGGTTTTGAAGAGGTACAGGCAATTTGTACCAATATCATAAACATACCTGGCAAATATGCATAGGTATATAGGCTGTTACTCCTGCTGAGACTATAATGTCCGCTACTTTGCGTAGGTTAGGCATCATTCTCTTGAAACACAATCATCCCACTCAACAATGGATTGTCTCTTCTCCGGGATTATAATTATGTATTGTGCGCGCATATTTTTGTGAGCTGTATATGATTATATAAGCCCAGGAGGGGACTTATCTGGATGAGGGTGGGTGTGTTATATAACCCTACCAATATGTAAGCCAGTGACTGAATTTTTGTATTTTCATAATTTAATTATTGTATTTATTTTAAATGTTATTATACCTAACTTTTGTATGAGAATTGTGAGGCCACACAGAGAGGATAAAGGATAAAGCTAATTTTTCTTTTGTCTCAATAAACGTGTTAAGTCAATGTCAAAAAAGTACAGTCAGCTATTAACTGCAATTACCATTCCTTATTAGGTGATATCCCTCATTTCCTGCTATTTGGCACTGACAAAAGACTCCCTTATGAACTCTTAGATGGGAAACCTGCCCCTAACTATGACGAAACTATGCCAAGTCACTCGTTAGCAGACAACAAAATGCTTTTAAATTATCTAATGAAAACCTAACCTTATGCAGGGACAAGATAATTGCTAACCAACATAAGATACAAGGATTAAGAAAATTGAGGTTGGTGCATTAGTATTAAAGAAATAAAGCCTATAAACTCTCCTATGCCAAAGCTAGCCCCTCTCTGATGGGCCCAACAAGTACTACAGTGTCGCAATAACTAGGCACCTGTAAGACCAGCACCTGAACTCTACTGAAACTACACCTGACTAACCATTCCAGGGGTCACCTAGCTACCACTACCACGATGTGTGTTTTGGTGCAAGAAAATCTTTAACCGTTTTGTTTTCTTGTTTACAAAGTCGATGACCCCAAATTAAATCCTCAAAAATACATTAACAGACGACTGAAAAAAATTTGACAGAATCCCATTAGATACAGAATTTAAAGGCAGTTACGTCAAACCAAGCACACTTTCAAAATCTAGTAAATAGATATTGATCTTCGAGGCACACGCCGACGCCATTTGCAAAAAGTGTAAGGAACATTCATATAAGTCTCAAAGTCCCAACTGAAATAAGAACTCCAGTTGTACAGACCCTTGCCCTCAGAATGATTAATCAGTGTTCAGACAAGTGGGGTTAAAAAAAAAATCTGCATAAGTAGTAGTGGGTAATATAAATATACAGCCACATTACCCTCTTGCACAAGTTCAAAAATTACACTCAAATTAAAAGGGAAAATTACCCTCACTGGCTAATACCTCGCAAACAGCAGATAATAAAATAGGTGCCCTTATGAGTAAGTGGCAAACTCTGCACACCAAATATAAGGGAAACAGGGTCAAGACCAATACATATCCGCAGACCCAAGACCAGCAATCACCTTCCTCAAAATACTATAAACATTTCCAACCTGATGACAAAATAAAGGGGCCTGTCCTACATTGCCAGTGACTACAGGCATTTAAATAATACACTCACGATTTCTAATGGATACAGCAGAGGTCGGCAACCTTTGGCACGAGTGCTAGACTTGGCACGCAGATCGCTTGTCTATGGCACTTGGCACGCCATGTGATTCAAGGGAGCAAAGAAAAGTTTAACAGCAAGTTAATATGGCGAGTATAAATCTAAACTTATAAAACATCTAGTTTTTTGTTACAAAGAATGCTAAATGCTACAAGAATATCATATTTATGTTATGCATGTGTATAAGAAGGCGTTAATTATCAGCTGGCACAATGTTAAAAAGGTTGTCGACCCTTATATTATAGCAATACAACTCATTTCCCATTTTGTTGTACTATGTAACCGTCAGTGTAAAAATGGCCAATGCAATTAATGGAATAAATCGTTTTGTTCATCTTGATTTTGAGGGGCTTGAGTGGGGTCCCATCACAGTCAAACCTACTTAAACAAGGCAACCGACACTGCCTGACCCACGTGCCTCTGGAGATTTATTTGGACATCAGAGTAACGAATGAACATGTACACCGGATTACAGAGAAAAAATGGGTGGGGAACCGAGGTAAATGTTGACCGAACACAAGAAGCAGCGTCATTCAGGATCATATTCAAACGGAGTCCAACGAAGAGGCGTGGATGTGCAAGCCTGACAGTTAACAGTTCCAGTTATTACTAGGAATATTGTGCCTCAAACAATATCGAGGGAAATTAATGTACAATTTGTAAACCTCCATGTCTACACCTCTGGCCGCTTATAGTACATGCTTATATTGAAGATTTTTTGTATAAGGAATAAATACGAAACCCTATGTAGTATTGCTGCATCCTTTATTGAGGATGGTTCACTATAGTTTTGCTAATTACAAGAAATGTGGCAACTGTAGATAGAAAATACGGATTAAAGTCCATTCTTAATACTGGAGGAAAATGTATGAATCATATGATGACTGACTAGATTTATCCTGTTATCTTAATTGGTTTGTTTATCCGTTTGTCATGGTATGTCTTGTAATTACTCTAAATTAATAAACACTTCATTTTTCAAAGACCGAGTCAACAAGGATGTGCAATATCTTGTGGGAAGAGAATTTTCAAGACCGGATCTTCCACGACAGAAAACGACTCTTGCCTTGCGACTGGGTGGGAGAAGCTACGTTCACCGCTTCCTGCCTTTCCTGGGGGAGGACCTGGGGGAGGACCGGCCCGGCTGAGGGTTGGGGCTGTGGGGCTGCAGGCGGTCTTTCTTATTCTTGTCCTAGCGAGGGGAGAAAGGGGAGGTCTTGAACTACCTGCTGCATTACTTATGGCGACATATCTATCTATGACGACTTTCATCCGTGCTTAATGTGCCAGTTTTACTTTAAATACTAGCGCACAAACACACACCCATCTTACTTTATGAATAAGAACCCTTGGTCAGAGAAATTAACAATAATAATTATCTGATTTTTCTTGATTAATGATTGCTTGTCAACCGCATTCGCTGCACTGTGGCCAAAGATGTAAAAACTTGAAAAACTGTTTAGGGAAAAAACCGCGTCACCAATTATTACAACCCCGTCTGGTAATTCTAAACAGTACGGATGCACTCGCCAGAGATTAAGTCCCCAACTCCACGTCAAAAAAAAAAATATTAATCAAAGTTGCCATGACGAATATGTTGGTTCCCATGGCAATCACAAAGGAATTGATGCGCAGGATCCCCACAATCTGAACTACAGAAATGCTGGATAGTACAGTCGTAGAAACGACACGCATTTTTCATTTCCCTGTCCGCAAAATAACAAAAACAAAAAATATGTATATATGACCTAGTTCTAATAAACCTGAATCATGACGGAATAAGCTAGCAATAATTACCTCATCACCCCCGCCATCGCCTCCACCGCCTCCGTCTCCATCTCCTCCTCCTCCGCCGCCGCCGCCTCCTCCACCTCCGTCAGACAGAGGCACGGCTTCTGACGGCCCTCCGGCTTGGGTGATAAGATTCCACGGCTTGTAGGTCACGCACAGCATCACGGCGATTACGGCGATGACGACCACGACCGTGACTCCCGCGACAACCGACAAGGAGTCCGTCATCTGAAAAGTTAGGATATTGGGTAATTCTTTAAGATCAACCCTGTGTGAAGGTTATTCTGACAGATGTAAGTATATGACCGGTGTATGGCGATTTTCATCTTTTTCAACAACTCTAGCCAACAATTTTGGTTTGGTAGCCCCGATAACAACACTAAGATGTGGATAAATCTAAAAACATTGGCATAGAGGGCGGGAGAAGCTACATTCACCGGGACATGAGATAATGGTACAGGTCCAGTTCCATACAGCCATCGTTTAGACGAAAAGTAATATATGCTAACGATGGAGCAACGTGAATCTAACTTATCTACTATGATCTTCAACTGCAACTCACTAACGAAGTTACTATGCGCGCGCTTTCTCGTAACCTAAACTATGAAACCTGCACTGCATTCGCAGACTCCAAAATCACCCGCAGTGTGAAATGTAGGCCTGTGCTTACCGTCGATGCTCAGTTCAGCTCGGCGAGATGTGTCACTGCGGCTACAGAGGAATGGCGTGGCGACTCGACTCAACCTTTGGGGACAACATGGTCACTGGCCAGAAAGTATAAACAATCTGCTCGTCTTCGAAGGAGGATTGGCTACCTTTACGATGTAAACGTGAAAGGAACTGCTTGTTATCGACAGTAGTTTCCCATTAAAGGCCGTTAATGCTTTTGATATCTGAAAGTAACTACGGGCTTACCAATTGACCGCAAAACACAACTATGGGTCGAACAAATACGTACAAAATCCAGATTATTCACGGTGAAACGGCAATTTCTTATGTGGGATATGCCTTACAAGTCAATCGTGATGCCCTTGTAATAATGAATCCCCTACCATTTCCGACTTGTATGTGGGAACTCGGGATATCATTTACTAAATTCTCTCATATAGCAACGATTAAGCTATATTGCTATGTATTCATTAAATTCATCAGAGGGAAACAGACTATGACATTGCCTAAATTTTTCGTATTTTGATGGATTTCCCTAATCATATGTAAACGTTTGATCTCGGAAAGCAATTAATGGGGCTAACACCCTTTTAGTGAATAGACTGGCCCAGTTAATCTTTTACTTCGTTTTAGACTTTCGTATCAATCTCATTCTCATTTTATTTACACATTTTTTCTTGCTAGTCTTTGAGTTCGTAAGCCAAGATATTTAAGACAGGTAGTACCACTCTGTCTCGATAAAAATCCTAGTTGCAACTGTCTAGCTAAGCCCCGCCCACTTTCCCTCACATGACGTAAATATTACTGAAGTTTTCGCTATTTCTACATCTTTCCCGTCATATGTTACTGTTTGCTATAATTCATTTATACCAATAGTTAGTCTATAAATACCTTGGGTAAGCTAATTTAAAAAGATATGTAATGATATGCTTCATCTACGCTGATGAACAGTTTACCAATGGCCTGCGCAAGTTATGGCAAATCAAAGGTAAATAATTCAGTCATACAAAATGCAAAAAGGAAATATCTTGCTGAAAACTCCAGAAGCTGTAAAAGGGAAACCTGTAAAAGGGAATGGATTATAGAATCCATTCCCTTTACAGGTTTCCCTTTTCCTAAAATCTGGCTAGTCCTCCGGTGATCATTACGAAAATAACAGTTGACTAGAAATGTTCATCATGTTAAATATCGGTCATTTTTTACGTGTGTGTAAGCTTTAATGAAGGTTTTTCATTTCCCATTCATGTCTAATCTAACATGACCTTGCATTTGCTTCAATGATGAAGGCGTATATGCAACTGTCCATTACTTCAGATTTCATTTTTTTTCATTTGCCAGAGTTTTATACATAATCGCGTACACACGCTCACTCGCGCGCGCGCACACACACATACACACACACACACACACACACACACACACACACCACACACACACACACACACACACACACACACACACACACACACACACACACACACACACGCCCGCACGCACATACGCACGCACACGCACTCACACGCACGCACGCACGCACGCATACACACACACCACACACACACACACACACACACACACATACACACACACACACACACACACACACACACACACACACACACATCTATCTATCTATATATACACATACACACATACATACCTACGCATACACAGTCATACAGCATATATATATTTAAGATCGCGAAGCAATAGTTTTTTCACACATGCACACGCACGCGCGCACACACACACACACCACACGCGCACGCACACGTAACGGACACGGACACGCACACGCACACGCACACGCACACGCACACGCACACGCACACGCACACGCACACGCACACGCACACACACACGCACACACACACACACACACACACACACACACACACACACACACACACACACACACACACACACACACACACACACACACACACACACACACACACACACACACACACCACAAACACACACACACACACACACACACACACACACATATCTATCTATCTCTCTGTCTATCCATCTACCTATATATATACACATACACACATGCATAGCTACGCATACACAGTCATACACATATATATATTTAAGATCGCGAAGTAATAGTTTTTCATTTGACTCAAATCTAGTCAAATGAGCCCCAGTGCCTTCGTCTGCGCAAGGTAAACACCGAGAGGCGGGAACGCGAAAGCTTGTGAGAGTCCATGCTCTTTTTTCTCGTATTACTTGAATTTTTGCCAGTGTTAGATGTTCACATTTGACCATTTGTATTGGATTAATCGTTGCAAAATGTGATGAATGAAATCAGCAAAGGTTTCTTTTTGCCGAATTGGTTGGTAATGTTTAAATGGTGCAAGAATTCAGTATTTTTAGCTACCTCCCATGACAACAAAATCACTTGCATTTTCCACAACTTCAGGGAGTTGTCTTGGTAATTCTTAGAATAAACACTTCGTCGCGAATCTGTATAGAGGTCTGGGTATGCAGAGGGAAGTGCAAATGTATAGCTCCAAAGATATTACATGGCTTTTGATTCGTGACGGGAATTCAGAATCACTTTTTATGTATATTTATATTGGTGACAAAATTTCTGAGCTGGGCCGTTCATCAGTGCCAATGTCTTTCATCCAGCTGTATATAGTATTTGTAATTTCTAGGGTGTTTCAGTCCCTGTATCTCCTCAAGGGAGTTTATGTCATGGTCCTCGGGAACTGGTACAATACCATCTGATGTCAATAGCTGTGACAGTGGTATATTTGAAGCCCTGACTGGTATACCGTTAGTGCTACAACAAGGGCAATTAATTAGTGATACAGCATCAAGCAATTGCAGCCTCTGTCTCTGTTGTTGCTTTAGCAAAGGCTAGGAAGCTTCCACCTCACGCCAATATATATTCTGGGAAGATTGGGCTTGAAGACCTCCCTGGTGAATCACAGTACACGCTAGATCTACATAAATGGAGAGTTGGGTAATTTCCTATATTAGAAATTTTACCGAGATTTGCTTGTCTGGTAATTTTCTATATTACCTTCGCCACACCGATATCGACGATCTTCCCAAATATATATTGGTGTGAGGTGGAAGCTTCCTAGCCTTTGCTAAAGCAACAACAGAGACAGAGGCTGCAATTGCTTAATGCTGTATCACTAATTACTGCCAATATTAGAGCAGTACTTAGTGTTCAAAGGCTAGAGTTATTATATGTGGACAATGAACTTAAAATGCATGCTGTCAAAACCAGGTTTGTGTGTATTGGCAGTGCATGATTTTTGGTAAGGTTTATCATTATCAATGTAGGATTGTAAAGATAAAGGAAAAATTATTAAAGGAAAATATAGAAATAATGAAACAATACTGTTAGGTATGATAAGAGGAAGGGCAAATTAATAATAAGGTCACAACTACTTGTTAAAGTCAGTTTATCCATGTGTCAAGTGATGGTCTCAGTGCTTCTCTTGCTAGCTGTAGTCAACACAGCCACTGCCAGTCTATCAAGCAATTGTTGATCTTCCAAGCAATATATTGTTGGATAATGCATAAGTAAAGGTTCTATCTTCCCAGAATGCAGTGGAGTACAAATTTGTGGAAGCCGTGGGATTACTTTTTGAGGTACTATTCTGGCATTCCCTCTGTGTGATTTTTTATCTTTAGACTTGAAGGGTAATATACTGGAGGTGATAAAAAAGTGATTCTTTACTAAAGAAGCAGTAAAATTAGCTCTTTATTTTGACAGGGCCAATGAAGGCAATTTGTAAGCAATACTGAGCCTCAGGAAAAATGGCCTTGCATGCCTTACCAGCAGATACCATCCGTCTCATCAAGAGTACTCAGGTCATCACTACTCCGGTTTCCATCGTTAAAGAGCTTGTTGAAAATGCCGTTGATGCTGAGGCATCGACAGTCTCTGTTAAATTGGTGAGCAAGCAAAGATGAATTGTTTTTGTAATTTTTCAGTTTGTGATATTGTGTTTTATTGATACTGAGAAAGTGACAGTGCTAAAAGATTTTTTTTTTTTTACATTTCTGTGATATGTGTAAAAAACAAAATATACATTTTATATAGTTTTATATTTTTGAATTGAGTCTATGGATAGTTGTATAAAAGTATGTATATTTTTTGTGTTTATTTCTACTTACGATGTTCATGTTGAATTTTAGCATTACATTGAATGATAGATTGCTTGAACATAATAATGTATTTGTCATTGTTACCTTAGAGATTATTTCCATGGATATTTTGCACTTATGAAGAGAAATGCCATCAATATTTTTTTTGTATAATTTTTGTTGATAGCAATTGACATTATTCTGCCTAATTAATTCTTGAACTTAGACTAGAATTACATTTAGTTGTATTCATTTAACCTCATAATTGCTTTGCCATTGCTCCTCCATTATATGAGTCAAAACATAATATGAATATAGTTAACAAAACTTATCCTCGTGAACACTCTTAAATTCGAAATGCTTTAAATGTGTATTTAAGATATTAACATTTTAAGAAATGCAAGGATCTCATATTCTTAATCTTTCATACACATTATTTTCTTTGAATAAATTGTCCTCTATTTGCTGTTTCTCCTTTACAGGAGAACTATGGATTTGTGAGGCTAGAAGTCCGGGATAATGGGAAAGGCATCAGTGAGGAGGATATCAAGTTTGTAGCAAAGCCCCATTTCACATCAAAGATTTCTTCCTTTGCAGATCTGTGTAAGTTTGGTAAACTGTTTTGCTTTGTAACACCTTTATTAAAAGTGATTAGTTGAATAAGTTTGTTCATGTTTTAGACTAATGTGCAGAGTTTCATTCTGTGTTACTAACTTATTAGATTTTGTATGTTGTAAAGACAGGGATTTGCTAATAGATGGCCTGTTTTTATTTATGTTGTTATTAGTATTTTTGGTTTTGTATGTTATTATTTTTTTTTTGTATTTGTTATTTTTATTGTTTTGTTATCATTATTTTGTTATTGTTGTTTGTTGTTATTATTTTGTTATTGTTTTTTTTTATTGTTTTCATGTTTTTGTTACTGTATTTTTTTTTTTTTTTTATATTATTATTATTATTTTTTTTTGTAACAGTGATCAGTAAATGCTTATTTCAAGTTTGAAAATATTATAGAATGACATCATTTACCAATTCGCAGCTTCCTTGACTTCGTATGGATTCAGAGGAGAGGCTTTGTCCTCGCTTTGTGCTGTTGCTGATGTTACTATCACAACCAAAACAAAAGAGAGTTCAATGGGCCACATATACACATTTACACACCAGGGTGATGTTGCTACCAAGAAGCCAGCAGCTACTCCCAAAGGTAGGCGTGAGTTTCCAGTGTTCATACAAACATGCAGTGAATAGCTTTGTAAACATAGGGAAGATCCATACTTGGGATTCACTTATGAAGTAAACCATTTGACATATTAACAAATGAAATGGATATTGCAATGAATGACTAGGAAAAAAGAATTCATTGATATAGAAGCTGTTGTTTAATTTCCAGAGAGTCAATCTCTGTTTTAACATTTGCAGTTGAATGTGTCTTCAATGTAGTTAGTAGTTATTTGATTATATCTTTGGATTTCTTTATGGCTTCAGGAACATCTATTGTGGTGAGCAACCTCTTCAAGAATGTTCCAGTAAGGCGACAGTACTATAATAACCCAAAGCGACGGAAGGATGAGTTAAAGAAGGTGGAGGATATGATGCTGTCATTTTGTGTTGCTGCTCCAGAAGTCCATTTAACATTAGTTCATGAAAAGTAAGTTTACTGAAAACTAGTGTTTGTATGTTTTGAAAATATATTGAAAATCTGTTAATATCCGTGATTGGTTACTGTAAATTTGCTGCCATTGAGAAATCTTTGATTAAAGGTAATAAGATTAGGATATATTAAATATGATTTGTGTTTTTGATATATGTGGCCAAAATAAGGCAACTAACTGATAGCAAAGTAGAATTGTCAGGTTCTTGTAGCTGAAACCAAAAGTCATCAGGTACATGTGATTTTATAACCTTATAAAACATTTAGTAATACTGTAAATACCACAATTTGTATAGAGAGAATATGAACATCTTTCTTATTGTTTCAGAAATACTATGATACAGAAGAACCCAGCCAAAGGCATTCACCATTCCCTCATGAATATTTTTCCCACAGTGTACAAGAAGTTAAAGGCAGAGGCAAAGGAAGTTGAAGGTGTATGTTGAATTACAAGATTTTAAGAATTTTAATATTATAATGGATATATTCTATTGTATATATTTAATGAAAAATGTTGGGGCTATTTCCTTTTTTGCATAGAAAATACTGCTACTGTGTATCTTTAAGTGGAAAAGCAGTTATTTTATATAAGAATGATAATTTTTTTGGCCTTGAATGATGTAAGGATTCTATATTTTCTGTTTCCTATTTACATATCTATCAATTTCAGGTAAAGTTGGAGGTTTATCTGCCTGATCGTGGCTTCTGTGCAGATCAGAGTACCAGTAGATCCTGTTCAGACCGTCTCTTTGTAATAGTAAACCGCCGTCCAGTTAGTCACAAATCAATTGAAAAGGTACTGGAAGGAATTATTTACATAAGAATTAATGAGAGTAAGTAGGACACCAACCAGTGACGACAGAGATTTTCATGTGCTTGGGAGAAAATGAAAAACAAAGAGGCAAAGAATTCCATAAATATGAGGTAATACAAACAACCAGAAACAAGAGGGATAACCTAGCATGTCACATGTAATATAAAACATTTTTCTTTTTTTAGTCTAGAATTCATTAAATAGGTGGAATATTAACCTTATCTGATTATAGCTTGAATATGATCTTGGATTGAGTTTAACTCCTGTCTATGTAGATTTATGTCTGTAATTACGGAAACTTATCTGGAGTTTTTCAGGCTATGAATTTCAGACTGTAATATTTTAATGGTTGCATTATGATATTTGTTAGCGGTTTGATTTTGGTATTGGTAATATTAATCTGAAATATAATATGTCAAACTGCAGATTATGAAATATTAAATAAAGGAATGAAAAAACGTCATATAAAAAATCATTAATCTGGTTGCGTCACGAATTCAAATTGGATCTTCGATATTCTTGAATTATACTTATATTAGATAATATTTGTTGAATATTAAGTAATCTTTCAAGTTAACATTATACACGTGCCACATAACAAATACTTTATATGAATTTCATTTGAACTACATGTTCAGGTTCAAATGATGGTTATAGACTGCAGTGTGCTTCAACATATCTTGATTTTTTCTATTTAATGAATATGTTGTTCTTGTAATTATCAAATTATTACTTGATACCATTAGATGTGATATATTAATAAAGAATATTGCAATTCACCAGATGGTGAAAGCACACTTCAGCCAAGCTTCGGAAGGCTGCCATGGTCGCTACCCAATGGGTGTCATATCTCTGGTACTTTCACCTGATGACATTGATATTAACTTAGAGCCAAACAAGAATAAGGTGCTGTTGAAAAATGAGGTAAGGATAAATGCTTAACTGTTTGGATTTATTTTATTTTATTTATTTATTTATTTATTTATTTTTTTATTATTTCTCTAAGGTTCTTCCTTTGTATGTAGCAGAATGTTATATTGTACAATGGAGTAACAGTAACACATGCTTGTACGTATGTGACTAGGCTTCCTAACAAGGTATTGACATTTCTTTTTTTGTGTCTTGTGAAATTGGTTACATATTGCTTATTCTAGATCATATTTAGAGTGGTTAAAGTTCAAGGCCTTTTCGGGAAGAGTAGTTATATATACACTTACACCAGTAAATGTAGTTTTACAGTTGAGATGTGTACAAAGACAGGTTACAATAAGAATTATGTCAGATCCTAGTATTATCAGGAAATATTCAGTTCTCAGTCATTAAAATCAAGAATGCCTATTTAAATATGGGATAAAAGTTTTAGAGCAAAAAGATATCTAGTAACTTTGATAAGAACATCTTTACATACATATGTAATTGCAATTTGAGGTTCTCTTAATCTATCACTTTTTGCTAACATACATGTAGTTTTTAAAGGCCAAAAAGAAAAATAGGCTTAATAGTACAGAATGATTTGTATATTATAATGGTACTGGGGAAATCAGGCCCTTTTTTGTCAGCTACTTTGATTCAACAACAGACCAGTGAAATTGATTAATGTGCTAAAACCACAGTTCTTTCCATTTGCTCATTGTAATTTAAGGATGACTGTCATAGATTGAACCTATTTCTCTTTCTCTTTGAATGGCCGGTCTTTGTTGTCTGAGCACATAGTTTGCCTCTGGTTTGCTATTCAGTTATTTGAAGCAGACTTTGAGAGGTGATTCTGAATGAAAAGAGCTTTGCTGAGGCTCAGTTGGCAGACGAGTTCCAAGATGTTCGGATGAATTATTTCTACTGAAGATTGGGTATTATATTGTATATTGTGTGTTACCTTGCATTTTTCTTGCTTTATTAATATGCTTTTTTCTCAAATCCTCAGGAAACTGCACTTGAATCTTTAAAAGAAATACTAGAAAATATATATGGTTCCTTGGAGATGACAAAGAAGTCCAGTCACAAGAAAAATGGCTCAGGGTCTGTCACTGCAGACACAGACATCACTTGCACCTTAGCATGTGTTACACAAAAGCAAGGAGCCAACAGTAGTGCCAGAGATGAATTAGAAATTTTGGATGAGTTTTTGGCTGAGTCTTTAAAGGAGGAAGAAAAACAAGAGAAACAGCATGCAAAGGCTGCAGGTGGTTCCAAATTAGAGGAAAGGCTATCAAAAGAATACTGCATTTACAGTGACAAAGAAAATGATAACTTTTTTGAAATTGCAACCTTACTCCATCAAATGTTGATAATAGAATGATTAAGCCCATGCAAGTTCAAGATACCCCAAACTTATTTAGTAAACCTGGTACTAGAGATGAACAGTATCCTCAAACTCCACTGAGAGATAAAGTTTTAAGATTAGGTATACCTGATGATGAAAGCAGAATAGAAACCGTTGGCAGGTCTTATTTGACAAGTACACAGGAACCCAGATCACATGTATTAGCAGACAGACGGCCATTATCACTCTCACTAAGCACAATCCATAGTGACGGCAGCACACCAAAGAAACATAATGCTACTGATGAAAATTTGACCATCGTATGTCCTTCTGAACATATATTTTCCATCAGTTCTTTGTCATCTAGAAAGAGTTTCCAAAGTGAAGGAAGGCAAGAAGTTAGCAGTGAAAATTTTGATAAATGCATGGACATTACTTCAAAGAAAGATGAAAGGAAGTGCACACAGCAGTCTCCCAGTAAGGAACTCTCAAGTCAGTTACACAAAACAGTTATGGGTGATGATGGTATCCCAGTTTTTCAAATAAAGCCACTTGAAGTGAATAATATTTCTGAAGTCTCAAGTGATCTGGTACAGCCTATGCAAAATGCAAATAAAGATAACCTTTCCAGTCAAGAAGTTCAGCAAGATCCCTCTAAGGGTTTAGAAAGTGCTGTTACATCAAGAACAGAAGTCCAAGAAGAGCAGGTTTCTTTAACTACTGAGAAGGAGAAAAGTAATCTTGCAGGCAGTTGGAGCAGGGGCCATATACCAATAGAAGGAAACATACAGGTAAGCTTTTAAAGAAAGGGATGTCTTTTTAAGCTCTATAAGAAAAAATAAATTACTGAACAAAGTAATTTAAACAGTGATACATGAATAGGAGTGATACATATATTTATATATATATATATATATTATATATATATATATAAATATATATATATATATATTATATAATATATATATATATATATATATATATATATATATTGTGTGTGTGTGTGAAAATGGAGACTGACATTGGCAAAAGTAAAAAACAGAAAATTTTTGCTTTAATTACAAAATAAATGAAAACTTTGAAATTACTGGAAGCATTTCATTCTTTTTCTTTTTCATTTTACTGTCGCATCCCCATTCAGTCATTGCCATTATAGCATGTGTATATCTGTTGGTAAATATTTCAGACAGTTCAGATTGTGACTCCCAAGATCCAGGAAGACCATGTCCAAAAGACCCCAGTCACACAAATGCACTCAAGCGCCTCCAGCCACCGTCTCCAGGGAAGCTGCTCTCTCCGGTGCCCAGCAAGAAAATAAAGCACGAGTCACTGAGTCCAACCAGCTATGAGTACGTGCACGGAAAATCTGTGAAGAGACCTGCCAGTGCATTTATACTTTATTCTAGAGACATTAGAAGAACAGGTAAATGTCCATCTTGTAATGTGCTTTGATGATGTGTAAACTGATTTACATTTGTGATTCATTTATCATAGTCTGTTTCCGTGATTTATCGGTCATGTTTTCTCTAATTGTTGAGATTGTTGTCTTAATATTTTTAGATATATGTAATTGATTATTTTCAAGTTTTTTTTAGGTTTGTTATGATGGTTATTGTGATTTTTTTGAAAGGTTTGTTTTCTTTCATTAAGTCTGGCAACTGATTTTTTATTCTTGTCATTGTTTTAATTATGCATTTATTTGTTAACTACCAGTAATCACAGTCATTTAAACCTGACCAAAGATAGTGTTATACATTGCCCCCAGTGATAGGGTCATAACTGGAATTAGATAAAAAAAAAAAAATTGTGTGTAGTATTTATGGTATTTATATTGTAATATGTATAATATGTTATCCATTTCTTGACGTTACAGTGTTACGTGAAAATCCTGGGAAAGATTTTGCCTTTATTGCCAAGACAATGGCAGACAGATGGAAAGTAGCCGATGCAGAGACCAAGGAGTATTACAGAGGTCTATCAAATGAAGAAAGCAGAAGATATCAGGAAGAAATAAGGTCAGGAAAAAGTTCTAGTGTGGATGCTTTGCCATGTTTGACCCACTTGTGTATTCAGATGAATGTTGATATTTATTTATTTATTTTTTATTTTTTTGAAATATAAAGTAATGCTAAACAAGATGGAAGTATGTATATATTATAAATGTGGGGAAAGGACTGAAGAGAAATCAGGGAAAATGAATGAGAAGAGATATGCATAATCTTTGGAATTATGTTAACCACTGGTTATGGATAGCATGATATACATGCCATGGCCACCATAATTTAGGTCATAAATTGTGTTTACACATAAATGGTTCCACAAGGCCATAGTCACCAAGGAGTCAACAATTAGTCCTACTGCTCTCACCTTTTCTGTGAGTTTTAGAAAAATTCTTTCATTTTATTTTTCTATTTTCATTGTTATAATTATTTTAATGTTTTTATAACAGTTATCAAGCTATAATGTCAACTATAATAAGAATAATATGGATATTAATAGTATCAGAAGACATTTTTTTCCGATTATTCAAGTGATCGGGAAATCAAGTGTGGTCACCAGAGCCTTCTAATGGACTCCTTGGTGTTA